AGAGGAGCGAAGCCCCCGAGAGAGAGAGAAGGAGAGACGAAGAGAGCACAAGAGAGTCGAGAGAGAGAGCAGCACGGGAGAAGACGAGACGACGAGCAGCGCACGGAGAAGAGAGAGAGAGAGAGGATGAACAGAGAAGAGACGAGAGAGGAGAGAGAGAGAGCGCGAGAGAGAGAGGAGGAGAGAGAGAGAGAGAGAGGAGAGAGAGGAGAGAGAGAGAGAGATGAAGAGAGAGCAGAGACGAGAGAGAGAGAGAGAGAGAGAGAGAGAAAGAGAGAGAGAGAGGAGAGAGAGAGAGAGAGAGAAGTAGGTAGAGAGAGACGAGAGGTAGAGAGAGAGAGGAGAGACGAGAGGGAGAGAGGATGTGGAGAGAGAGAGAGAGATGAGAGAGGAGGAGTAGAAGAGACGTAGAGTAGAGAGAGGAGAGAGAGAGAGAGAGATGAGAAGAGAGAGAGAGAGAGAGTATGAAGAGAGAGAAGAAGAGAGAGATATTTCGGAGAATTTTCATTTTTATTTAATATATTATATTTATAATATAATATATTATATTTAATTCATCGAAATATTATATGTAACATTAATATACTAATAATTGAATTTATCAATTTAATAGCAATAATTGCTGTTTATAAAATATTATTTTGTAATTATATGCATTAAATTATTTTATTTCTTACAGTAGAGCTAATGATGCGTTGCAATATAGACTTCTTCAGTTATTGACAAAACTGCCTATGAATTGAAGCTGTAAACTTACATTGTTCAATAGTAAGTAAAATAATAAATATATAATAATAATAATAATAATAATAATAATAATAATAATAATAATAATAATAATAATAATAACAACAAAAATATATTAAATAATAAAGTATCATATGAAAGTCAATAAAATGTCAATAAAGTGTCAGGTGAAATTGTTTTGGATAATGTTGAATTTATTTTACAAATAGTGGAAGTAAGACCCTCATACTGTTCAGACTCTAGAATGACAGGTGAGTACAAATATTTATAGGAGTTTTTAAGTTATTTTTAGGAGTTGATTTTCATATTTAAGAAAGTTACCTGATGTTACTTTTCAATTGAATGAATTGAGAATTATGCCAAACAGAACTCCAGAATATCTACTAAACTTGTACCCTTTTTCCCACAGAAATCTTTGAATGTAGTGTGAAAATTTTCCAAGATTGTGTAATCAGGAGAAGCCAAAATTATGAAAAGAGAATTGCAAATTCATGTCAATTAAGCCATGTTTTATTAGTCAGTAACTGAACAAATTATTGTATTTAAGTATTATTACAACGAATTCACAATTAACTAACCATACCTCTAAGTCACTGATCAATAATTGATACACTGGCTGTCAGTCATAAGATGAGCAACGTGAAAATGAAATCATGATTATAAACACCAGATATAACTGCAAAACCTTATACAGCACACATTAATTTGAATCTTGAGAACACGCAAGATCGAAAAGTACCGGCAGAATTCCAGTAGATGATGACAAGGCCTACGTGGGAGCTTTGCAGTATATTCCATTTCATTTTCGTATCTGATGACTTAATTCAATCAATCACACATGTTCTCAACAGTATTTCAAAATGTTTGAATCACTTAGTATAATTTTTCGTCATTAATGATACGGAATTAAATAAATCTCTCATAAAATCTAACATCCAAGCGATCAAAATTACATTTAACAACAAAATTCAGTCAAACGCGGCCAGCTGTGAATGCAACTCAGCTGAATGGCGGAAGAATATTTAACGGAGAGCGATGCGGTCTTAGGCGACGCACATCTGTTATAGAAGCTGTCATTATAATCGTTCACTATCCTGAACGATCTGTAATTAAACACGTGTTTCTAATTTGCGTGTTCTCCTCTCATAATTAAATTAGGCCGTGTCTGTGAGAGTATTTTGTGTATTTTTGTGATAACAGTCAACTTGTACTGCGTTTAGGAATGTGTATTATTATGTAATATTGATTTATTTCGAAATTATACTGATTTTTTGTAAAGAGTGTTTCCATTTCTGTTAATCGTAGTCTACTAAAAGCCCGGTTCCCACTAGTATTTCTTTTTCAACCTTTAGTACCCAGTGGACCCAATACCAAGTTATGTGAGATACAGTTACAAATTACAATAAGGGCAACTGACTATTCTACAGTATGAGGAATGATAATTGTGCAGGACATGTAGCATTGAACAGCTATGGAGTAAATGCCTTTACTAATGTGAAAAGTATACCAAAAAAGAGAAAGAAACACACGTGCCTAATCCATTCCTCATCCAATCACTCATCTTAATTTTTGTAGAGAACTAGTGCAGGTGTATCTCAAAACGTATTCTGAACCACCAAAAAGCAGAATAAATACTTCACCTAACAAACAGAGGAGACATACGTTTTGACTGTTTGGATCAATAGGTACAACAGAATTCAGATGAGAGGAGGAAGAGTTGTGGTGGTCACAATGCAGAAAATGTGATGTTTCGTTGGAAATCGTACATGCTAGAATGTATTTTCTTGTCAATTTGAAATATTAGTTGTTTTTTTTAACTCAAATAAATGTATTGTCACATTTTAGTGAAAAAATTATGTATACAAATACCTATTTATTTCGCTCTTATTAGTGCCTAGCTTATCAACTGACTGACAGGTCAAATATTTCTATTTAGCATATTAAAAAAATTCATTAAAAATGATGATCACGTTTAGTGTCTAAATCAATGAAAAAAGTATTATGGTCACAAATAGGAGAACACTACAACGTATTTGGAAGGCCGCGTGGTATTTTCACTCTTTGTGTTAGTGCGTGCAACAGTGCACATGTCACCGCACCCATCACCCTAACCCGCAGGCCGCCCGAGCCCATGCCGCCTTACATTTCATAAGAAAGCACATATGAAAACCACTGAAACAAATTACTAATGCATGCTCAAAATATTTCTGGTTGTGAGTTAATCGATTAAAATTCCAAGATTGCATTGAACTATTTTCGTGCATCTCGCTCGCATTTAACGGTGGTTGAGTGCACAAATATCTTCTGTGAACTCGTACTGCCACAAAGGCAGCTGGCATGAACGCTGGTTTGCTTGCCATGTTAAAGCACGAGTATGCAAAATTTTTCCGAGGTAGATTCTGTTTTTATTCCTAATTATGACATTTTGGTACATTATGTAAATGTGCATAATGCCACCAAATACAGTTGGATTATCTTAAAACTCCATTACAGATGACGGAGAATAACATAATAATTACACTACTGTCACTACAATCCCTTGTCCGATATTTTTGTTTTCGGTTTAAAATAAAGGGTAATGAAGAATTCTTTAAGAAATATCCTTACGCACTATTTGATTGATTAATTAATTGATGTTGAATTGAGATGAACTGCTACCGACTCTAATGAACACTGCTTTTTATCTCAAGTAGTGGCACTGTTTCACTGTCTTGTGAGAGTTGGCGCTGACCTACACGTCTGCTTGCAGGAGATTTCTCCCTTCAGATGTAGCTCCCATCCTGTCAACGCTCTAGGCGAGACAAGCTCTATGCCCACTAGTGCACTTTCGACGTACGCGGTAATGTAGTGTGTGAAAGTATAAATGTCACGGAAAGGGTAGAGGATAGGGCGAGGAAGGGGAAGAAAATATCATTCACGAACCGTCAGCTGTTTGTTACGATACTGCACACGTATATAAGCCTGTATTATATCCAACGACAAACTACCAATCAGAGCATCCAGCAACTAGAAATCTCCATGAGATAGCGGTTATATTCGTCCCATTTATCTATTATTTCATTGCCATCCTGTAACATTATTGGAGAGGTAATTACGTGAGAAATTACAGAGAAGATGGAAGGGAGATGATGAAATTAAAAGAAAGAAGTGATAATAAGAGATTTTAACACTACCTTGTTAGTACATCGTTGTATTTTGTACTAAACAAAATGTAATTTCATTTCCAAAGATGTTTGAATGTGTAAATCTACGCCCAAATTTAATGTTTTTTGTACAAGTAAACCTAGAATAAGTGTCGAACTTACTACTAATACAGGTTTACTAGAAGAAAACTTTTTAAATGAATGTTATTTCTTCAATTAAAGTATCTGTTTCGTTCAAAGGAATGACATTCATTCTATGCTTGAAAATTGTGCTTCAAATTGTTAGATGGTAAATTCAATGTGTAAAAAATTAGAGAAGTGCTTTTAGAAAAATACATTTATTTTAACACAAATATATACAAATGCTTAAGACAATAAATTAAATATACATAAACCAGCACATAATAAATACCAATTGCAAATTCTCAAACATTTTAAAATACAAATATATTCAATAAATACCTACACAAATAGATATGTTTCCCGACATTTAAAAATAAGTAATTTAATCAAATAAATGATACAATCCGAAAGTCTTTTCATTTCTAAAGGACTTTAAAACTATTAGTATTTCATAATTGTCTCAAAATTTTGTAAGAACTATGCAACCTTCAGAAGAAAGAAAGCTTTTCATGAAAATCGTTTAGTCAGAATAATGAAATCATACATGAAGAAGAATTAATGATGTGCACAGTAGGGCACATCATTACTTGTACACAATTATAAAATTTATCACAGCGCAAAAAATTCTAATTTCATTTTTATAAAACCATTAGGTAAATAATTACAGTTGTTAATTGTTAGGCAAAAAACATTAAGCAAATCAAACTGAAACTTCTCATTTTAAAAAGTCTTTAAATGTAAACAATCTTTCTCACAAAGTTATTGTATTCAAAGAAACTAAAATGTTTTGCATTAAACTTTCAATTTTTTTTAATATGACAGGCAATTTCACCATTTGATTTCATGCGAGGTCATAGTTTAATAGAAAATAAATGAAGTAATGTATTAGTGAAGTTTAAGTCGGACATCAAATGCGAGATTATTGTTCGAATACTATTGTTTAGTATACGTCTTGTAGACCCTTGTCGGCGATTCCGTTGGACTGGTTCAGTTTGCTGGCGTGGAGAATCTCATGGCGGTGGGCGGCGCGGGCGAGCTCAGCTGGCTCAGTGCTGGGGGCGGGCGCGGGGGCGTGAGCGGGTGTGGTGGTGCCTTCGAGAGCCGGAGACGGCCGGCTTGGCGCAGTCCAGCAATGGCGCCCCCTGGCCCACCCACCGGCAGTCCGGGTATAGAAACTGGTGGGCGATCTCCCCCGGCAGGCGCCGCTTGCAGATGAGCCTTTCCTCCGCCGCGGCACCGCCCAGCACCAGCGTCGCCGCCACCAACAGCACCAGCATCACGCACCAACCCCGCTGCATGGAGGCGCCTGCAAACAAAGCACGCCCACTCGGTGAGCATCACGGAAAAGGTACTTTCAGTACAAAACTTGACTCCTTTACACGGGCTATGACCGATTCGGGACATTCGGTATGAAGTGCTGGCACCAAAACTTTACAGGGAATTTTCAGTGTTACTCTTACAGTTTTATAGGAAATATTGGCAACGAACAAAATTTAGTTACGTGAATGAAATCATTTTTTTTATAAAGAAATTGTCCGTCTAAAGAGAACATCATTAAACATGTATTAAATTGTTTTTCACAGACGTTCTACAAGATGTTATGTTTTGTTTTGTTTTGATGCAACGATGCCTAAAATGGCAGCTAATATGAGTGTATATTTCAATTGCCAGACAGGTGAATTTGAATAGCGTATTAATTATCTCTGTTAGTATCTCCAAGCGGCGTTGAGTATAAAAGAATCTTACCTTTCAAAAGATACATTTCCTTGATATTAAACGAGGTTGATATATGAGAGCCGATACGTGTTGCTAGAGATTGATTCAACTGTGTTCTGCCCGTTGCAAATCCGTGTCCCTATTTATACGGGCCAGAAAGCTCAGTTAGGGAGCACCTGGCGTGATTTGAACGTGATCGGATATTACGTCGATAAGAGCATGTTTGAAATCAGAGATTTACCTTCCTACCAATTGATAGGGATTTGTAATTGTACAGATTTTACTTAGAACTAATTCTCCGCATGTAGGAAAAATGCTAATACGGAAATAATAAAATATATACTTCAAATTATTGAAAAGAAACATAATAGATTTTAGTAATTTTGTTCTTCGTGAAACTAATGTTGAGTGTACATTATCTTATGTATTATTTTTCAGTTTGAAATTAATGTATATATCACTAATAAAACTCAGAACGAAAATAATACATCACTTTTATAAGTATTAAACTAGTCGTTCACGTACTTTCTTGTCTTTAGTAACAGCTACCTAATATTATTATCCCGAAATTCATGTCCATATTCACACATCTCAGTTATTACTTGTAAACCAAATTAGAAATCGTAGAACTTCAGGTGCGAGAATTAATAATTAGGAAGCTAATGTATCAACTCAAATTCGACAACTAAATGCGTTTCATACAGCTATACTACTTCCCGTCAAGGATAAAAAGGTTTCATAATCTCCCAAAAATGAGAAGGAATTATCGTCCCAACGTGCAGCGTTGTCGAACTCAATTCATCTGCGACTAGCAAATTCGAATTTGAAAATTCGAAAATATTGAAATCACTAAAATACTTGTATTTTATTTAAATGTACATGTCCGTTTGAAATGAAATGATAGTTAATAACAGACTTAATTTAACAAAAAATACACTTAAAAACACTCATATTTTTGAAAAAAATTGTACATGACAACTGGGAAGAATTTGGGGCAAAACTGAGAAGCTAACCTAGACCAAATAAATCAGAATACTAACTAGTGCGAGAAAGTCTTTGCTCTGAAGATCTGTTTTGAATGAATATATTGCATTAATGATAAAAATCTATCTTCATTACTGTAATTGTTGGAAGAAGCCGAAAAGTTCAAACTTGCAAATGTTAACTCCAACTCCTGTGCTACAGAATAGCAAAGACTTTTTTGCACTAGTTAGTTTTCTGATTTATTTGGTCTAGGTTAGCTTCTCAGTTTTGCCCCAAATTCTTCCCAGTTGTCATCTATCACCATCCAAATTACATTTTATCACATTTTTTTCATTTTTGGTTTCCCTAATTGTAGAAGTGAGACATGACTTTTAGAATACTATAGAACGGTAAATTCTTGTCAGACATGAACATTTTCGTTCAAAATATTTGCAACCGTTTTCTGAGAAAATATCGTTTAGTGTTGCTGTAAATGCAAGATTTTAAGCTGTAAATTTGAATTTATTTTAATGTGTAACATATACATAAAAAATTGAAAGCAGAAGGTATGAATTATCTGCTTACATCAAAATGTCTACTGAGATTTTCAAAAAAAATGGTGTCAATAGAAAGAAACTTTGCTAAAATCCTTTACCTATTTTTACTGCGTGTTGTAGAGAATGTATTGCATAAAATATTACTAACATCCTGCCAAATAATATATTCACATAATAATATATTTTGAAAACAATATAGTGTCGTATATACACTACAAAAAGTACAAACTTGAATAGATTTACATACATTTTAAATAGATCAGATTACTAATTCTGATAATTGTACTGAGAAAAATTCCATAATACATATTGATGACGAGCGATAATGTTTTTCGAATTTTTGGAGGATAATTATACTACTCTTTCTTCTTCACGCAGAATGCTCATAATATTTACACGAAAACACGTGAATATCATTGAGTTATGGAGATAAATTTATGAACCAAAATACAAAATGGTTTGCAAATGCTTATCAGCTCTTCAGTAATAGCTCCCCTCAACACCAACACACCACACGTAACTTGGTGGTACTTGAATCACCAAGCCACATGAGCATGCACTCATAATTCAGTTCCATTCAATTGCGGTTTGCAGTACTCGTACGGTAACGTAACACGCTACCAACACGTGTGGATGCCAAACGCGTGCAAACTTATTAGTGAGAACTTTATTCCAGGAAGATGAAATATGTAACACAAACACAATTTCCATCTATAAATCGCAATGCCATTGTCTCAAAATAAAATACATTACCTAAGAAAACATTCCAATAATAAACTAGTAATACTATAACTCATTTGTTTTTAATCGTAATATTTGTAACGGTACCCAAATATGATAATATCCCAACCTCTATCTAAGTTGATTTTGAATTGAAAAGTTGAAAAACTTCTATAATAACAAAGCTCAAGAGGTTAGCGAAAAAAGACATGAAAAAATACATTTTTTTAATATTCCAAACATTAAATAAAAATGAATGACATTAAGTTTACTGTATTAGACTCTATTTCAACAAAATGATTAAAGAAAAAATATCTAAATACTCTGACACATTTAAGTGGTGAGACAAAAAGCAAAACTCTTTTACCGACACAATTTAACCAACAGAAAGAATCCCTCCATTTCAAATGCTTTAATAACATTTTGATAATATTGTAATATTTGAAAAATTAATTATTCAAAAATTAAATTTATTAAGCACTTTGTATCAAACGAATTAAAGATTCAAGTAATACAGTATATCAACAAAGATATCTCTAGTCTTCGTATAGAAGACATAAGACACGTTCAAATAATTAAACATTTACACTTTTTGAAATTCCAGATATTTCAAAGATGTTTAGAGCAAACCGTATTATTAAAGTGGCGTTTTTGCTTATACTATTCGCTAAAGGTGTTATTATTCAAGTGATATTTTAATTTACAATTCTACTATTAACAATTTTTTAAAATTATTTTTCCTATTTTGGTAGTTTTCATTAAATTTGATGTAAGCGAGGCAGCACCAAGATCTGCCTACCCGAAGATGAGCATCATTTAAACTGGCGTTTTCGCTTACACTATACGCTAATGTATTATAATTCAAATGATATTTCAATTCACAATAGTACTATTAACATTTTTACAAAATTATTTTTCCTATTTTGGTATTTTTCTTCAAATTTGATGTATACGAAACTGCGCCAACATCTGCCTACCTTGAGTTGAGCATCCTCAAAAGTGGCGTTTTCGCTTTTATTATTCACTAAATGTGTAATTATTCAAATGATATTTCAATTTACAAATGTACTATTAACATTTAACCAGCTACTAAACTAAATAAATATACACTATCTACTAAATTTAACAATTAAAGTCTCATTTTGTGATAGTAGATTGCTAGCAGGCTGTTTACGTATTTGCCTGTCGTGCGTTGCTGCTAAACCAGCTACCTGGCTACTAATCTTACGCTAGTTTTAAATTTCCACTTACCTTCAAGGGGCAAATCGGGTGCTTTTATTACTCATAAAGACAACAAAGCAACGAATTTCATTAAATTTATTCATAAATTTAAATAAATTTATGTAGTAATTAAAAGTATATTTAAATCAAATTAAATTTCTATAATTTTCGGCGGGCTTTTATGAATTGGCCGTTGCCTAGCCATAAATTGTATTTTTTAAAATCTCATTTGGTGAGAGCAGATCACTAGCAGTCTATCTACAATTTGACTGTTGTGTGTTGTTGGAAAGACAGAGAAAACCTGACTTCTAGGTTTTACGCAAGTCCAAAATTTCGACTCTCCTTAATGTCGCAAATCGGGTGGTTTTAAATATCCTTGAAACCAAAACGCTAAAAATTCCAGTACATTCATTTATAAATTACAATTAATATACGTAGTAATTAAAAATTTATTTAAATAAAATTAAATTTCTATAATTATTGGTGGTAGTTTTTAAATTTAATATTCCCAGGTACGCAAGTCTGGCCATTGCCTAACCAATATATTGTATTTTAAAGACGTTAATTTTGTGCGAGTAGAGCAATAGCAAGCTCTCTGCGTATTTCATTGTCGTGCTTTGATGGCAAAACAGAGTACTACCTGGCTTCTAAGCTTTAAGCTAGTCTTAAATGTCGACTCACCTTCATGTCGCAAATCAAGTGCTTTTATTATTTCTTTAAACAAAAAAGCAGAGAATTTCATTACACTTATATATAAATTTAAAACAATATTTGTAGTAACTAAAAGTTTATTTAAATAAAATTAAATTAATTAATAATTTGCCTTTTTTTGAATGCCATATTCCAGGGTAGACACGCCTGGCCGTTGCCTACCCATATTTTGTACTTAAAAGAAGTTAATTTTGTGCGAGTAGAATAATAGCATGTTCTCTACGAATCTGATTGTCGTGCGTTCATGGTAAACCTGAGTACTACTTGGCTTCTAAGCTTTAAGCTAGTCTCAAATGTTGACTCACCTTCATGTAGCAAAGCAAGTGCTTTTATTAATCCTTTAAACTAAAAAGCAGAGAATTCAATTACATTTACTTATAAATTTAAATCAATATTTATAGTAATTAATAGTGTTTTTGAACGATTGACCTGATTTGTTCTAAATATTCT